ATATTTGTGTATTACATACCATATTTCTACATGAATTTAGATTGAGTGTATGCTTGTTTATGTGTACAGCCTTCCTTAAAGACAAATTCAACATACTTGTAAAACATTACTTAACGTTAAAACTTCTTTTAGATTCTCTGATGTCTACATGTCTGGAAGTCCAGATAATCGTGTTCAGGGCCTCAGCTAGTTCTGAAGCCATGCCAGGAACCCTGCTATTTTTATTTTTCATTTATGGAACTCTCAGAATCTCTATTTTCCCACAGTGCTGTAAGTTATCATCTTGTCAACCAAAACAACAGGTGTCATTTCGCTATTGAAAACCACTGATGATTCAGCTGTGAAGTTTTTGTTGAAGTACACAGAGTTTTTCTCTCATTGTGCATAACTAGCAGCACAATAATAAACAGCAGTGTGACTTTGATCCACGGTTTGGATTATCAAAGAGGCGTTTTTTGCTGTACTCCCACTCAGATCTCCAGACATATTAAAGTCCTTTTGGTATGACTCTTCTATGGATGGTGTACCATAATTCAAATATCCGATGAGCTTCATGGCTGTGTCTCCAGGGGACTTTTGGTACCAGAGCATCAGTGTGTAATCAGTTTTTCCATGGCTGCAAGAAATTTGAACTTTGTCACGAACTTGTTTGATGAGATCAGAGTGGGACTGATGGACCTCAATACCCAGACTTAAACCTAAAAAAGAAGAAAGAATATTAAGAAAGACATAATGTCTTATGTGAACATAAACAACAAATATAGGATATAATCTTATTCTGAAAGATTTAGTTACCAGCAAGACATAAGAAACCAAAGATGCAGATCATTTTTCCTCATCAGAGTAAAATAATTTCCCCGAATTGTCCTATACTAGACTATTTTAAGGTGCACAGTAATGAAGTCCTTCTAAATGCTGTTTGAACTCAGTTCATGCCTAAAGAGGAAATTGACATGATAAGGAAGCACCGCCCATTGGTACAGCCTCACTAAACGAAAGGATTCAAAACTCAGTTACAAACAGAACTCTTTTTAATGTTTAATTTCAGACTTTAATGCACATGATGGTCTTCTCCATTAGTCTAAACCCAGAAAGGGATTTAGAAACTTAAAGGTGATGTAAAATAAAAAATAAAAAAACTAAACCCAAATTTATTATTCTTTAATTGATCTGTTCTTTAATATGCTGTGATGTGAAGTCAGACAAAAACTGAAACATGTTAATATTTTAGTTGGTTAAAGCAATAAAGTAAATCCTCAATGGATGTATTCTCCGGAAACATGAAAATACAAGAACATAAACACATTATAATATATCATGCTTTGCAACTTCACTCAAGACCTCTTGCTTTTTTTGTTTTTTTTTCTTTCTCCATTTTTAAAGATAACCATAATCTTACATATATATCAGTCTCATGTCATGTCACAGTCAAAAATACTGGGAGTACATAATTGTGAAGTTTATGAGGTAGAAGTTTAATGATAAGTTTTTATATATGATAAAAACAAATAAAAGAAAGGAGATGATCATGGATTTTAAAAGGAACACATCCTCCCCTTCATCTTTTATGACCCATCAGTCACCACCTCGGACTCTTTCAGCTTCCTGGAAACCATTATTGCTCAGGACCTTAAGAGGAAGCTGAACATCACCTCCCTCTACTGGAAAAGATCAGCAGATAATATACTTCATGTGGTAGCTGTAGAAGCTAAACCTAACAAAGATAGTGATGGTGCATTCCCACCCTGCAATATTGAGTCATCGTCTCCTCCTCCATCCTTGTCTAGTACACTGCTGCCACCTGCAGGGACAAGGGAATACTGCAGTGTATAATTTCCTCTGCAGAGAGGGTAACAAGCTACAATATTACCTTCTATTTAGGAATTGTACACTTCCAGGACTTAGAGGCAAGCTGATAAGATTGCAGCTGGACCTTCTCATACTTTAAAGAAAAATAAAAAAATGCATCACTCTTTCCCCTCTGGCTGGCCTCAATAACAAGAGTCAGATTAGGTTCCCCACTCACACTTTCCTTCTGCAAATAATGCAAATATCTCTGTACATTTAAACACTGTTATAATCTTTTTATGTTGTTGTTACTCTACATTAAAAATATCTGCCATGTTTCTTTCTTTTCAAGAATGAGGAAACGTTCAGTTTCAGTTAATATCTTGACAATCGTAAAGCAGGTGTTATTTTTTCCTTTTGAAAACCACTGATGATAAAACACTGTGTTTGGAGTTTTTCTCATGCAAGAGATTACGTTTGTCTGTGCATAACTTGCAGCACACTTGTAAACAGCAGTATGGCTTTGATTCATGGTTTGGATTATCATAAAGCCTTTCTTGTAATGAGAGCAGGGTGGTACTGATGGAATTAAAATGAAACAGAATATGTCAGTTATTCATGCTAAGCAAACCCAAGCTTAAATGACACCAATATGGAAAAAATAGCTGCAAGGCAACATAAACATATAGATATCTGGTTTTCTTTTCTTTTTTTGCCCAGTTGAAGACATTTGTTTGAAAACTTCCTACAACATGGTTGGAGCTTTCTAAGGTTTCTGAGGTCTACTGAGATGATGCAGTGTGTCACCCTTGTAATGATAGTTTGTCAGCCCACAGCTCTGAAGGTAACGGAAGTGATGAAGAAACAGAAACCTTCATTGTGCTAAGTCAAAGGTACATCTGTTTAGACTCTGTTTACAAACCATAATCCTGATAAAGCTTTTCTTAAGTAAATTAATATGACCCCCAAAAAAAGGGCAATAATACATTTTTGGAATTTATTTGATATAATATATTTAAAGCAACCAGAAACGAGGGGTTAATAAAGTTATCATTTAGAGTTAACATAAACACAGAATAAAGAAGGACGGTATTCAGGTTTATTCTTTAAAGCTTCTAAAAACTGCACAATATTAAGTATTGAGATGCTCCTTTGTGTCATTGAATTGAGGGTTTTCTTGCCAAATGTGATGACTGTCAGATTAACTCAAAATTGTATAGAAGCATCATGGAAGGATTTGAAGCAACCTTCCATTAACCAATAAATGGAAACAAAAAGCAAGCATACTTTCACCTGACTTTAGAGACGTATTTGAACTGATTCTTGTGTCTGGTATCTGATTGCCTGACGGTAAGATTTTGAATTGTGAGATTTGGGATTATATTGTGGGATTACTTTTAAGGTCCTGGGGTTGGCTCTTTACTTATGGCAACAGCAAACCCTACTGTTGTTTCCCACAATGATATCTTGGACAATTTCCTGCTCCTAGCTTTGTGGGTGGAGCCCTTCCTGTTCCAGCAGAAGGCCGATGTTGTTATGGAAGAACTTTGGCCTTGACCTCAAAGTGATAGAGATCCTTTGGAGTAAATCAGATTAGAGACAGGAAGTCTTCTGCTCCAAAATCAGTTACTGACCTCACTAATAGTCTGTACCCCAAAACTTCCGAAGCCAAAAGAAAGAGAATATTTATATCCATGTGTGTTGATACAGACAGCATCTAAGGAGACAATGACCCTCATTGGGTCCACTGCACTTGTGGGAAGACAGACTACAGTGAAGATTTCCAGATCAAATTCTAGGCAGTTAAAGACATATAGACCGGAAAGAGGTTTTAAAGATTAATTTGGTGCTGGTGGGTGGGGCTAGTTTACGGCTAGTTTACGGCTCTGTTGTTCATTTTTCAGCAGAGCCTCACTTAGGGCTGGTCAATATGGCCTAAAAATAAAATCTCTGGTTTTTAAATTTTTTTATTTGATTTATAACTATTTTTTCTACAAACACTGCCGGACCACACAAAGTCCTTTGACGCGTCTGTGTTCACCAGCAAATCCAGACTGGACCCTTTTCATGCATTTTAGAAGCTCTGAGTGCAGCGTCGACATTGCGATTCCTGCCTGCTGCTGAAGTGAGTTTCCGCCATAGGTCAACCACACTATTCTGCTGCTGCCACTGAGATCTGTACAGCCCCTGCTGTGAGGACCCATCATTGCAGAGCCGATCCAGCTATGGCTTGCATCGTGAGTGAGGATGCTCCTGACCCATCCGTAAATTACCAAACTGATTAAAGCCCATTAAAATCCTTTGTTTGTTGCATCAGGTTAAGTCAAGGCTCTCCAAGAGCTGCCTGTTGTACTGAGGACTGGCTTCTGGGCCTGACAGGGCCAGATCGAACCAAACCGCCCTTCAATCCCCCCCGTCCACCGAATAAACACATAGTAAAACCTCCTTCCTTTTATTTTCATCTGATACTCAAATAAATAGCTCTAGCTTGGGCGAGACAGAGTTAGTTAGGTTTTGCATTCATTTCGTTGAACACTCATGATCTTAAAGAGACAGAGTTTTATACGAAAAAGTTCTGAACTTAATGCTAATTTCAGGAAGTGTGTCAATGAGAGCGTGATTGACTTTGCATGTGCAGATTTTCTCTTTTCCTGCTTCATCCTAGAAGTTCATCTAGTGTGTTAAAGGTGTGTGTCCAGCATTGTTAGTTCCTAGCTGCCTCATTTTGGCCATTTTGTGAGCTTTATAACCCATTGCGTTTCCGCAGCACTGTTAGTCCTACCTCCTTTGGCCATATGGTGAGGAGGCAGCTAAGTTGTTGGTTTTATGAGTCTTTGTCTGTGTCCTAACGTCCTCCCTAACCCCTAAATCCCTCAATCGCTATATAGACTGGGGACTATATAGTGGACTTTATAGTTAACTGACTGTTTGGACAGATGATCACAAATTTTCGCTCTTCTTTGGTCACGTAACTCCGTAACTCCACCTTTTAGTAAAAAATTATTTCCCTTTGACAGAAGCAGATACTTTGCATCTTAGAGAAAAAAAAGTGAAAAAAATAAGGTGCTGCATAAGTAAGCTAATGTTTTAACAGGTTTGATTTGGGAGAAACAATGTAGCTGCAATGATCAGTAAGCTCTTGGCATCAGATGAACCAAATCTGTTGGGAGGTTTTTGCACTGAGAAGCAGTGACATGCAGCACTGTGGTGACTAGCTGCACAGAAATAAACACCGCTGCTGCTCAGGTCGACTCCCTCTAATGTTAAAGTGCAGGTTTCTCCCTTAGTTGCTTTTCCAGTTATTGTCACTTTCACTCCATTCTCTGGATAGCCATCTTTAACATTCATGTACCCGAGGAACTGCATCCGACGGTCCTTTGATTGTTTGTACCAGAGGATCCGATTGTAGTCCTGGATTTCATGCTTGCAGTTGATTCTGGGTTTGTCTTCAGTCATACAGAATAATTCAGGAGGATCCTGGTGGACTTGGTCATTGAGAGAAAAACCTGTTCAAAACGTTCATTTTACATCAATGGCTGTAGATTCACACAGTAAATCAGAATTATTGCAGACAGAAAAAAAACTTTGCAAGCAAAACAAAAAAATTACCTGAAACAAGCATGACATGAAAGGTTGCGCAAAAGATAAGGATCATAATTGTTACTTTTCTCTCTTGATTTATTCTCGGTAGCTCAAATGATTTGGATTATAATGAGCACACATGGCTCTTTCCAGCTTGAGTGTATGAAGTTACTGTGACTCATCCTCTTCCAAACAGGTTAACCAATCACAGATCACAGCACACTTAAACATGCAACTATCTTGCACTGCAACTTTTTGGTTTGTCCCTTTTTTCTAAAAATGATAAAATATGATTAAGTAACAACCTTAAGTGGTTGTGACTCTTTGGCCCCTTCAACTAGTGAATGTGTATAAACAATATATTTATTTTCTTTGAAAAACAGGCTGATACCACTAACCTTCAAACAAATTTATTGTGCTTAATCTGGATGTTGCATAATAAAGTGTTTTTAATTCTGCATTAGATGTTATTTTTAACTGTTTAGAAAAGTTTGTATGACCTTTAGTTTAGATTCAGACATGCTAATTTGTGAAAAGGTTTTTTGTAGAGCTATTCAGTGGAGTGCAGCACTGTGGCAACTTCAGGCGAAGAATTGAACAGTGCTGATGTTTGAGTTGAGTTTTTTGACTGACTGACTCAGATTGCAGTTCTGATCACTGTCTGCACTTCTTTTCATCTTTACATCAGTCATTTCTCTGGGTTAAGACCAATGAAGTAGACGTAACCCTGGAGGAGCAGCCTTCTCTTAGACTGCTTGTACCAGAGGATCTGGTTGTAGTTTTGAATATTTTGAAAACAGTGGATCTTAGCAGTCCCTCCTCATCTATTGTGGATATTTATAGGAGTCTGAAAAACCCGTTGATGTAAAGAAGAACATCAAAAAGATGCAATAAAACTACTCTGTAATATACTGTCAACTATGGAAACTCTGAAAGGCAAGTCAAGTAAAGAAGTAAAAGTGTAATTTTTCTAAGTCATTGTTTTTGTAATGCTTTGTTTATTGACATCAAGTTTTGAGGTTATTTGGGGAATACAATCTTGATTTTTAAGAGATATCAGTCCTGATGTTTTCCTGCAAATATCTAGGTTCACCACTGTAATCAAATCTATGTTGCTCAGAAATATCTGTATATTTTACTTTGCAAAAAATCTAGTTTAGATCTTAGGTCATTGATTCTTGTGGCAAAAAATTGCAAAACTTAAAAATTAGCTTTATTATGCTTGGTTTTTAGGGCCGGAAAAAAAAAAAACGTAGAAGTTTACTTATATAATTTTTTTAGGGCTTCCATAATTAACTTAATATAGAGACATGTAAACATTTTAATTCATCATATTATCGGCTGCCATTCTTTTTTTTTTTTTTTTTTACAGTGCCCTGTCTAGCAAGGTGGCAATAAGAATAATTGTCTTGATGCCAAAAGGAGCCCAACAGATTTTACTTTCACAAGTGTAGCGGTATGGCAATTGCCATACTGCTCCACTTGTTTCATGCATATAAATTGCTTTATTATAATTATGCAGGGAGTTTAACAGTTTATATGGACACTGCAAAGTAAGTAGAGCAGAAAAACAGAAGAAGAAAAAGGAAAAAGAAAAGGAGAAAAAAAAGGACAAAAGATGAAAGAAAGAGGAGATAGAAAGGAGACAATGACAAAACATTTTCGGCTGCCATTCTGTGCAACATTAAGTTGTAATTTTGGACTCCCTTTCTCAAATCAAAGCTTCACTTCATCTCAGCACTACAAGTCTGGAGGAAACATGTAGTACCACCAGCCTACAAAAATAACACAGCTGCAAGAAGCTGAGAGGTTTCTGTGCTGAGGACTATTATTATGAAGCACTGTGGTATCTAGCAGCACAGAAATAAACTGCACTGCTGTTCACATCTAGCTCCTCAACTGTCAGCGTAGAGTTCTGGTTTTTGTTTGCGTTACCACTTATTTTCACTCCAGGCTCTGGAAATGCAGTCATTGCGCTGATGTATCCCAGGAACTGCATGTGCTTGTTGTTTGAATGTTTGTACCAGAGGATCTGATCATAGCCCTCAATGCTGTGTAAACAATTGATGAGAGCTTTTTCTCCAGGCTTGTGGAACATGTCAGCTGGAGACTGATGGACCTGATCACTGAGAGAAGAGCCTGTTGAAAAGGTTTAAACATGGAAAATTAATATTAAATTGTAAAGTAACAAAGCAATTTCCAAATTACTTTATCACAGTAGATACAAAATTTATATTTTTTGTTTTTTTATGCATTTTTTTCAACATGCTTGTTGTGGTAAATTATAGCAAATACAATAATATTACCTAAAGTTTGAACAATAATGTCCATGAAGTAGAAGATGAGAATCATTGTCTTTGCTGTAAGCATTTAAAATGAAAGTTGCTGATATTATGTTCCTACAGCAAGCAAATGTTCAGTATTTAAGTGTCTGCAGGAACTCCCACAGAAGAGGAACACACCCTTTATCGGTGGGTTCTCACTATGTACTTCCTCCTCTTCTAAGATTTTTCTCCTAATTCTTTAAAACCAAACCAAATCATTAGTCAGTAATATGCTTTTTCATATCTTACTAGTTGCTTTTATAAGATTACTTGTTTCTAAATGTAGGCATATTAAAGGTATAGAGTAGAGGTCACAGATTAGCGGACCACCTGCTGGCTAATCCGGACCCAACCTGATTTAAAACATTTATAAATGACCGCATGTTGCCTGATGACAGTGTCTAATCCCACATCCTCCGTCTCTGCTGCACTCCAGACCTCCAGTGCAAAGCAAGCCTACAAGCCTCCGCTGTTGCTCCCAGTGCTCCACTCTGACTTCCTCGGAGCTCAAGGAGAGTATGTGCTATATTATCAATACATTCAGGAGCAAAACATGCGGAAATAAACGCTTAATTTAATATGACATATTTAAAAAATCCCCACCATCATCTAGCCAGCATATGTTAAGTTTCTGTCCAAACATTTTGGTTTTGTTGCAGATTTTTGTATCAGGGATAATTAGGATCATACATGGTTTTTATGAACTATGTTTGTTCTCTGCCTCTAAACTCAGCATCTCTTCATCCAGGCCTTAGATAAGAAGTTTCTTTTGAATTTGTGAGAGGCGCTCTTGGGTGTTTTGACTGGATTTGATTAAACTTTTAAGCCTCTTATTATAAAATAAATATTTTGATCGAGATGAGAAATCTGCTTCCTTGTATATTGAAGTACCAATAGTTTGCATCCAATCATTTAAACAAACGGTCTTAGTTTTTGAATATATAAGCTCACAATGAGCCTGGAATGGCTTGAGAATGGCTTTGTCTCTCATTAAGCCATAAAAAAGAAGAAAACAAAACAAAAGGTCAGTTCAGGTGTTTTAAAAAATATGAAAGTCAGGAAATTGTCTATATACCGAACTGAACAATTGTTGTTCTCTACTTCAAAAAACACTTTAAGATTTTAAAATGGAACATTTTTATTTATTTATTTCTTATTTAAAAATTTTATGTATAACATTGATGCATAAAAACCTAATTTTATTTCAGTGTTAAATTCTTTTTAAAGTAAAGTAAAGCAACAGTTCTTTAAAATTCTTTTTGAAGAACAGCGGTTCTTTGAAAATGTCCAAGGGTTTTAAGAGAAAAAGTGTCTATGAAGTGTATGAGAAGAAAAGAAAGGCCTCAGAAGAGGCAGATACATCCCAGGAATACTTTGCGCGGAGAGCTCTCCTTGCAAAAAGGATTTGCTGTCACGGTGGCCCGCTGTCGCTACCTGACAGCAGTGACTAGTAACAAACATGGCGCAGGCCCCGCACGGTTGAGGAGGAGTTGCATAACCAACGGGAAGCAAAAAGCAGTGAACATCTGTCCAGACGGTAGGTTAACTGAGTTTGCTATAAAGTCCATATATGGTCCAAGCTCTATATAGTAATTGAGGGATTTAGGGGTTAGGGTGGATGTTCGAGCACAGTAAGCTTGTATGAGCTATGAGAACAGCAACTTTAAAACAGAGCGTGGACAAGGAGAAATGGGCTCATGCCTGCTCTTGCAAGTGTTTAATAGGCGTTCCCTCTTGGGGACAGGGTTGTGAGTGTGCATTTTTTTTTTTTAAAGGGCAGGTCTTTTAAAAAAATGACAGAAATCCTCCTCAATACCTATTTAAGGCTCTCAATTTGCTTCAACGTTATGAATAGACTTTGACCCAATTTTTCATGACGTAGACATTAGGTGAAAACAGAACAGTTGCTGTCACTGTACAGATTAGCTGCTTAAAGAGTCCCTTTATTTAATCTTTGAGCAGAAATGAGCTGCGCTGCAAACATCCCCACCCTGATCTGAGAAAGTGGTAGTATTTTTTACTAGGCAGGGTGCTTCTGTACATGATTTTGATGAAGATATAGCATTATAGTATAAAAGCTCAAAAAGTTTATTTTGCATGATAAGGTTTACAGTTCTTAGTTTAACTTTCATGCATGTTTTAAAGAAAACTGACATTTTAATATTTCTTCTTTATTTCTCTTTATCACCCGTGGAGTTTAAAGTAATACTTGAGAGGTTAGTGAGAGGGCAGTTTATCACATCAAATAACACTTTTTTTTGCCTTAGATACTACAATATGTTGGGTACAACATTCCCTTTGCCTCTTTGTTTACCATTTTGAATTTAGGCCCTGTGACCAACTAAATTCATTCTGATTTACAAGATTTCACTTTACCACCTTTTTAAAAAGTAAGACTTTGTCTGTGCTTTGTTCAAACCATTATTAGCATTTATTTATTTTCTATATATTTTTGTTTTTTTTAATACTGCACAAATATTTGTATACAGTACTAAACCCAGTAGAAGGAATCACTTTGTGTTTTCACAGGTGCATAAGGATGAAATGATTGATAATATAGATAACAGGAACAGTGAGGTGGTGGTTTTTGTACTGAGCAGCAGTGATGTGTTGCACTGTGGTAGCGAGCTGCACAGAAGTAAACTGCACTGCTGTTCACAGTTGGGTGTTTAATTGTCAGAGTGCAGTTCTCGTCTTTATTTGCACCGCCTGTCATCTCCACATTCAGGCCCTTCTCTAGAAATGGACTTTTTCTTAGCATGTATCCCAGCAGCTGCATTTGATTTTCTGTTCGTTTGTACCAGAGGATTTGATCGTAGCTCTGGATGCTGTGAGAACAGTTGATTTGGGTCATTTCCCCATTTCTCTGAACGATCTCATTTGGATTCTGGAAGATTTGGCTGCTTAGAGAGGAACCTGAAAGAAAGTAAAAAAAAAAAAAAAAAGAACACTGAAACAATGTTATGACATTCTGATGGGCAAAACCTCTAAGAGGTAACCTAAATATTAATGAAAGAAAATAACTTTAATACTTTAATACTTTAATACTTAAAGTTATTTTTGTATTAATACTTAATACAAAAAGATTTTTTCAAATGTGATTATGGAAGCTTTCATTTACCTGAAACTAGTAATATTTCCAAGCTTATCCAGCAGAGAATGAACAACATTATCTTATGTTACTAAGAACTGATTCTTCTGTTTTCCTCACTGCATATAAAGGCAGACAGGTGGGTGTGGTCATTTCACCTCATCATGTGAGTTTATAAAACAGACAAAATGGCTCTTTGCATTAACAGTTAAAACACACTCAATAACCTCTAAACTACATGCAAAAACAGGACATAACGATGCAAAAAAATAATTTATAATCTAAACATTACCGTACCTCCTCATACAGTAATGATAAATTATTTCCCATAATTAATCATTGTAAAGGTTTTTACTCTATTGATAAGTTAATTTATTTCCAAAATAAACTCTATATAATCGTCTCTGAAAAATGTCAGAGACCCTCTCCACCGCAACCCCGACAGAATAAGTTGGAGATGGATGAAGTGAAATAAAAATTTTTACAGCAAGCTTTTTATATCATGTTTAACTCACATATTTTTAAATATCAAGCACTAATGTACAGGTTAGTTTTTTAAATTCAGTTTGCCAAAATGGTCCCATGTTTTATAATTGGAAATCCACTTCAAGTTCTGTATTTTTGACATGGTGCACAATTTATCCAATCAGACTTTTGATTTTGTTCTGCAATAGGCTGATTGTTCACAAAATAAAGTAGGTAGGACTGGTTGAGAAACGCTGCCCCCTTGTGGATAAAATGATTTTGGAGGTAGAATTTTAAACAGCATTTCTTAACAAAAAAACTAAAGGTTAGAATAAAAAGAACTCCAGTTTGATTCCCACCCTGTTAAAAATCAGTAACAAATTAAATTATGTACTGGATAAATATAAAAAAATATAATGGATGAAATGTAATAAATTAAAGGGACTTTCTAGTATATCCTATAAGACTGATTGGAAGAAAATGAAGAAGGACCAACATCATCTATTCTCTTAAAGGAATAGTACACCCAAAACATGATTAGCCTTAATTTTCTACTCACCCCCATGCTGAACAACACTCTGGAGTACTTTTTTGATATCTCAAATGCATCTGGAGATCTGGGAGGCTTCTTGCTGTCTGCTGACATTCAAATAATGGAGGTCTATGGTGCCCGAGACAGAAAGGTCCATAAAAGTCCACAAAAAACGTTTCAATATTCCTCCATACTGCTCGTCCAATGTATTCCAAGTGTCCTGAGTGGGTAGCATCCAGAATTTACTCGAAACGAAGTCATTTAGAATGTTTTAGAGCATAAACAGTAGTGTATAGGATTTCCTGAAAGCGCGTTCACGACGCTACGGAAGCCGGCAGACCAAACCAGATGAAAGTGCTCATTCAGCGTCTGCTCTGCCAATAATGCAAGCGTAGAAGAAGAAATGTGCTGTTTACCTGTGCAAAGAAAGAAACAACGAAAGAAAAATGTCTGAGGACTTCAGTGTTGAGGAAGAGCATGAGTTCTTTGCCGAGCTGAATGCGCACTTTCATCTGGTTTGGTCTGCCGCGGTTTCCGTAGCGTCGTGAACGCGCTTTCAGGAAATCCTATACACTACTGTTTATGCTCTAAAAACATTCTAAATGACTTCGTTTCGAGTAAATTCTGGATGTTACCCACTCAGGACACTTGGAATACATTGGACGAGCAGTATGGAGGAATATTGAAACGTTTTTTGTGGACTTTTATGGACCTTTCTGCCTCGGGCGCTGGGCACCTCCATTATTTGAATGTCAGCAGACAGCAAGAAGCCTCCCAGATCTCCAGATGCATTTGAGATATCAAAAAAATACTCCAGAGTGTTGTTCAGCATGGGGGTGAGTAGAAAATTAAGGCTAATCATGTTTTGGGTGTACTATTCCTTTAAGATATCCGCACCTTTGCCTAAACACAGTAGGATATATTAGATGTTATTAATAAATTTTAATTGTCAGAGCTGATAAACGATCTTCCATGATGATTCATTTTCAAGTTTGTTCTTTGACTGAGAGTTTAGTTTATATGCAGCCTTTATTTCATGCAACCAGGAGCAAGTTAAGCACAATCAACTTGGACTAAGAGAATAATGCGAGACTCACACTTTAAAAAACTGCTGAAGAGCAAAAGTGTTAATGAAAATCATTGATCTAGGGAGCTGGTTGCACAGTACTGTATTTGCAAAGGCAGCTTTTTCCAAAGCTTCAAGGTAACAATAGAAAACATTTTGTCTGAGTATCCCTCTTATTAAAAAGTATTGATGAGTGCAAAAGTGCAAAGTACAATAACTGATTATGAAATAAAAACAATTTTTCTCATTCTTTTAACCTTAAGCATTTTATGCTTTTCATCTTGTATATATGTATATATATTAGTGCTGTCAATCGATTAAATTTTTTAATCGCGATTAATCGCATCAATGCCTGAGTTAACTCGCGATTAATCGCATTTTAATCGCACATTTTTTTCCTGATTGAAAATCATTTAAATACTCTCGATGACATACAAAAAAATACATACAGGCTAGGTTTGTGCCAATGTTCTTTTTTTAAAATGAAAACAGGTCACAGATACTGATTTATGCCATAGAAACATATGGCAAGAAGATGGGGAGGCATGTAGCAAAAAATAACAAATATGTAGCCAAAAAAAAGGCCCTGAAAACAGGCTGATGTAAAAGACAGTCTTTACAGTTAATACAGTCTTTTGAACAAAGACAAGCATTTTACCCTACCGCTATAAAATGCAGTAGAGTTAACATTAGATGTTAATTAACCAAGGTAATAATGAACAATTTTCAATCAATACATAAAAAATCAATAGACCGACATTACTAGATGAAGGTAGTCTATGCTCTAGAAAGTTACTTTTCAGCCTCTTAACAAAAATGAGAACACACACACACCCACTCACCCACACACAGACACACCCACCCACACACACACACACGCGATACTGACCTGTTGCGTACACAGACGGCAAGAGGGCTGCTACGAGATTCCATTTCACCTCAGTAATCAGTTTTCTCAGCGTATTTCAGGTTGCTACTAGTTACCAGACACTCAACTTGTTTGTTGGTGGTGGGGCTTAAAGAAAAGGCACTAGCGTCACCCAGTGTATGAGCGTCTTTTTCCCTTGAGGAGCTCCGCTCTAGAAGCCTATGAGAAATGCATAGACTGGGGGAAAATAGCCCCGCCTTCCCGCAGGCTGCAGCGGGATGTACTTGGAAAAATTGTACCATAAAACCACATAGCGTTAATCTCACGTTAAAAAAATTATCGCCGTTAAAATGGCCTCGCGTTAACGCGTTAATAACGCGATAATTTTGACAGCACTAATATATATATATATATGTATCTATATATATATATATATATATATATATATATATATATATATATATAGATGTGTGTGTGTGTGTGTGTGTGTGTGTGTGTATTCATTTAAGTTAATTGGGAAAAATAATTGAAAGTTTGTAGGTACTTGTGCTTTGGTTTACATCCCGATAAGGCTTATTTCAACTGAATTTCCATCTCTGTTTTAAAATGATGATAAAATAAAATGAATAAAAACACATTTAATTATTTTATTTTATTAGAAATACAAAGATATACCTTGTAAAACTGTGAACATATTTGAACATATATCTGTGGACTCACTTTGCTGACTGAGATGTTACCAAATATTCAGGCATAAATTGAGGCCGGGTAAAAAAGTAGTTTGGCTGTTTAAAAGATTAAAGCTGTCATTTTGTAAGTAGACACAAAATAACATTATCTTAAAGGCGATCATGCAGCTGCAATGATCAATGAACTGCTGGCCTCAGATGAAACAAATCTGTTGGGAAGTTTTTGCACTGAGAAGCAGTAACCTGCAGCACTGTGTCGACTAGCTGCACAGAAATAAACACCACTGCTGCTCAGGTCGACTGCCTCTAATGTTAAAGTGCAGGTTTCTCCCTTAGTTGCTTTTCCTGTTATCTTCACCTTGACTTCAGGCTCTGGATAGCCATCTTTAACATTCATGTACCCGAGGAGCTGCATCCGATCGTCCTTTGATTGTTTATACCAGAGGATCCGATCATAGTATTGAATATTGTGAGTGCAATTTATCACAGCAGGTTCTCTAGTGAGTTTAAAGTGGTGTGCAGGAGCCTGATGGACTTGGTCACTTGGAGAAGAACCTTGAAAGTAAGTGAAAAATAGTGAAGCAGGTTTAATAATTCACTGCATTAGAGATTAAACTATTCTGCAAATTTATATACAAAATCCTCTTTAAAAGTGCAAAAGTATTTTACCTGAATGCGGAAACAAATGAAAACTTATATATAGCAGTATGATCATTGTGTTGTTCTCTTGGAGAAAATCGCACACGAGTTAATGTGTTTGTCAAGATGGGAAGAGGTGAATCTTTCAAAGTGGGTTCTCTGAATACTGAAATACCAGCAAGTGTAGAACGCCCACTGTTAGGTTTAAACACCAAACACCTTATTCAGCAACCTGCACAAAGAATGACACAGAGAATTTAGTATATTTTACTTGCAAGGAGAGGGGATCAGAAACTGCATTCAGTTACAACTTCAAACCCACTCTGAAGCAGTATCTGCTCTCCAAGCCCTTTATTGAAGAAACGCCCTGATTACAATGTGGTTTCAACCGCTAAAGGGGGAGGGAACAGAACCCAGTTGAAACCAGAATTTTCGTACAACATCATACATCAGAGGATAAGGAGAACCCCTCTCCTTATCTAGTTGCACAGTTCTCCATTCTCCTCCACACCCTTAACGACATCTGTTAACAGCAGTCGCAGTCAACATCCCTCCTGCACAGACTTAAAAAACATTAATGACACAGCAAACAAAACTAAATGTTTTAACACTCTTTGTAATATGAGTAAGATAGAGATAACAAAATGTGTAAGTATAATATGATTAAAGTAATATGATTAAAGTAGAATAACTTATGTTCAATTAATTAACCCAACATTTCCCTCCTGTTTATTCACTTTAAGCTATTTATTTTTATCATTCAATAGTTACTTCTTTTCAGATTTTCAACTAAGAAATCATTCTTTTTTCTTTTTTTAGCTGT